GGGTTTTAGGGTTGAGGATTTGGGGTTTAGGGGTTAAGGGTGTAGGGTTTTAGGGTTGAGGGTTGAGGGTTTAGGGTGTAGGGTGTAGGATTTAGGGTTTAGGGTTTAGGGGGGTTTTAGCTGTTTGGGGGTTTAAGGGGGTTCAGGGGATAGGATGTGTTGAAGGGGGGTTTAGGGGTCTAGGGGGTTTAAGTAGGAGATGAGGGTTTTAAGGTTTAAGGGTTTAGGGGTTTAGGGTTTGGGGGTTTGGGGGTTTAGGGGTTTAGGGTTTAGGGTCTTAGGGTCTTTGGGCTTAGGGTTCAGGGTTTAGGATTTGCGATTGTGTTGTACATGGCTCTTATGAGGGTGTCCTATGGGTTTTGAAGGGTCTCTAAGGTTCTAATTGGGGCTCTATAGTGGTGTGACTAAACAGAAATATTCCTAGGGCCGAGTAGGTAACCTTTAACCTTCGGGGCTTATATATTCCTTTTATGATGATTCAAAAGGTCAAACCTTTTTGGGGCCAGGGTACTCAACCGCTAAGACGCTTTTTGCTCAAAGCCAGCTAGAAAGTGAGTGCTTGAGTCAGTTTGTCAGACCGCCAGTCAGGTAGTGAGGGCTACAATCCTACATCGCCTAAAAGCCCCGATTCGGGTTTAGGGGTTTGGGGCCTAATATAGAGGCCTAAACAATTACCTGCACTATTTTGGGGGTCCTTCTTATAATTAGAGCATAATATACCCCAAAGCCCTATTCTAAATACTAAGGCCCCTATATTAGCAGTTTAGGGCTCAGGGTCAGGGGTCCCAACAATCAGGTCCTGTCTGAAAGCCCAGGCTTCCGCGAGAAGAGGCTACCCAGAGAGCCCAATACCCCTTAATCAAGGAATATACCTTACATCACAATATGAAGGCCCCTATAATTTAAGGTATATTCCCCATTTAAGGGGTATTGGTCTCTCTGGCCACCTGCCCAAATTAACCCGCGACTGGAGGAATTCCTTCTCCCCCTCAGCCGGAAACCTGGAACCCTTAACTCCAAACCCTAAGCCCTAAACCCTGAACCCCTAACCCCCAAACCCCTAGACCCTGAACCCCTAAACCCCTAAACTCTAAATCCTACACCCTAAACTCCACACTCAAAAAAACCGGCAAAGAAGGTAAAACACATCAAGGCCTCGTTCCAAATCCTCGAGCCGAGCTGGAAATCCTAAGCCCGAAGCATTTTCTCTTTCCCAACCTACGAGCTCAGGGTTTACATAGGGTTTAGGGTTTTGGGGCTTAGGGTTTAGGGTTTAGGGGTTAGGGTTTCGGGTTTTGGGGCGCAGGGTTTAGGGTTTAGGGTTAGGAGGTCCCTGAGTAGTACCCTTTTGCCTTTTTTTTAGGGTCCCCTTACCAAAACCGACCAGTAGGCAAAAGGGTGCCCTTATTATAAAGGGGCACTCAGAAAACTAGCAGGGTTTAGGGTTTAGGGGCTTTAGTTTCTGCGTTTAGGGTCTATCAGCATGTGTGCCCGAATCCCTAAGCCCTGAACCCTAAACCCTAGACGCTCAATTCCTGGACCCTTATCCCTCAACCCTAAAATTCCACGGCTCTGGGCCCCCAAACACCGAACCCAAGAAGCCCAAAGCCAAACCCTTAACCCTACATGCTACACCCTAAACCCTAAATCCTGTACCCTAAACCCTGCACCCTACTGCAACGATTTTTCCAAAGCGCTGACTCTAAGCTTACAGAGGCAGAACCCTTGCAGTGCACACGAGGCCCTTGTCAAACCCTTTTAACCCAACTATAACGACCTAGCAGCCTTCAATCAGTTTCTACAACTGTCCTTGCTGAGGCTGCCCTACGCACCACACGGCCAGTACCGATCCGCTCTTCCCGATGACGCTGCGGACTGCCGTGGGATTTTAAAGCTACCCGGAAGACTTATTAAGCAGTTATGAATAATTTGAAGATGTACTACCACCGCTCGATTTCCCACACGCTCAACCCTAAACCCCAAACAGGGCAACGCGACCCTCGTTTGTAGCCTATTCACCAAGACAGCTGGTCTTCTAAGTACTGTTCAGCCTTTAGGATTCTCCAGCGTTCTTTAACTTTTTGAAGATGTTGCATCTAGGCAGGGATGCCGCAACGGATGACCATGAACCCTCGCGACGGGAAGACTAAATTCACAGAAGCACATGCGAAGAGATCTCGTCTGCTTGCTGGCTTATGCCGATTCTGGCAAGATGCCGATCATGGCAGGACTTGCTGGCTTCTGCCTATCATGGCAAGACTGTACGTAGCACATGCAATCACTTAAAGCCTCAGGGCTCAAGCACACGGCTCACACTGGACATTCGTACTGTTCCTTAACAACGGCATCCGGTCAGTTGGTGCCAAAGAGCTGTGCATCGATCCCTAAAGATATTATCTCGGGAAAATCCTACATTTATCCACTCTTCCATGCTTCAATCCACATAGAGATGCGAGAGCGGATGTTGACATCAGGCCACTTGATTCGTGCTCTGCCGGAGAGGTCCTTAGAGCGCCATAGCCATAGCACAAACTTCATTTGCCTGACTGTCGGTAGTACACGATGACCTGGACCTTCATCAGGGCTCAGCTTCGAAGCCAAACTTGGCACCAAGTGCGCCTTTAGTCCAGCCACCGGGAGGAATTCGGCACGCAAACCAGCCCTCAACTCATCCACAGACAAAGGCGCAATCATGTCTCGAGCTACTCGTGACCGCTCTCCATGCAGCGTTCTCGCCCATGACATTCGTAGTGGAAGAGGCCTGGCTGCTTGCGCCAGGTGAGACCTGTACTCTTGGTTCCACCGGTCTCCTCGTCAGCGTGAGGCGTACAAGCAAATCTCAGAGCTTCCAGAAGGAACACGGTTACGAGTCCCACAAATCAGAATGCGGCATTTCCTCCCCACCTTGTTTCCAGGGAGTGGCTGGAGGCTTCAGTGTGAAAACACATTTCGCAGGAGCCATGGGGCCATGAGGATCTGGCCTTCACGTTCAAGCTTGCGAGCCTCCTCAAGGTCCACCTTGCGTAGCGTACCAGCGTATCTATCCTGAAGAGCATTTCAACTTCACGCTTGATGGCCTCTGTCCATCTGTCCAAAGCCCCCTTCACCTGGTTAAAGGAACTGTGTGGATTCCTGCTTCAGGCATTAGATCGTCACGTGGTTCTTCATGAGGTCCTTCAGGCTTGGGGTCACCGTGTGGTTCTTCATTGGGATCGCCGCGTGGTTCTTCAGGAGGTCCTTCAGGCTTGTCGGGACTTTGGCATTGTATAGGCTCCAGCCAGAAAGTAGCAGGAGTCACTGTGGTTGGGTCTGCTGACTTGCTTCTGAAGCACACGACGATGAAATGTTTTGCAACGCCTGGCATAAGGTTGATGGTTGTTCATAACGTGCATTTTCCATCTCTGAGGTTCGTCATTCGAGAGTCCTTCTAAGAACTTCTTGGGGTCTGCATCCAAACGCGTCATCCAGCTTGCCATCTGAAGACCGTCAGGAGCCCTTTGCCACAACTCAACGGCCCTCACGATCATCTCCTTAGTCCATCGAACCGAGTGATCATTGGTCACCATGTCCGAGCTTACCTCTCCCAAACACAGCTGGTCAAGCAACGTAGTCCACGAAATTCTCAAGGAAGGCCATCTGAGGGAATAGATTTGACGGCCCTCTGCACCCTTGCTCCTTCGATCATCATGAAGACAGGGTTCCCAAAGCACATCGTCCTCGCAGCCTTCGCGACTATAAAGAGACACAGCTGTTTCAGAAGTAGCTGGGAATCGCTCTCATTCCTTGCAGGAGGGGCTCCCGCAATGCCGTCCAACCTTCCTGTTGCTGCAGCCCATAGCAAGCAGCGGTAAGCTCCAGAGACCTTGAACATGTCGTAGCCCGGTGACCTCGCAATACCAACCTCCGCCACCACTCGTGAGTCTCCTTTTCCTTCCCCCGCGTACAGGTGCAACAACACCCAAGGCATTGTCATCCTCGCTTTTTCTCCTTTGCCTTGAGCAACGGATCGCCTGGAGGTAGTTCCATCCCGCCTTGTCCGTAAGCTCGACTTGCTCCGCAATCGCACTTGTCTCCACGTCAGTCAAGTTGCAGAAATAGAAAGGCGAGTTCTCCGAGGACAAGGCTCTTCGTCCCCTCTTCAAGAACTCCTCCAAATGTTGAGACCATGGAATCTCCTGGTTCCACATCCACAAACTCCTCTGGATTGATCTAGTGGACTCCTTGATGTTCCACATCTTGTGCTCTTCAAGCTCCCTTATCAGGTCAAGTGCACAGGCCTCAGCAGCTCCCAACCCTGCGGCCGGATAAGCCCCAACTGGGGATGCCCTGTCTCCAGACCTCGTCGCCGGGTCCACTGTAGGTCGCACTCCAAGTCTTGGACCATCGATCCCAAAGGCTTACAGGAGAAACATCATCTCCCTCTCTTGGTGGCGCTGAAAGAAGGGTGCCTCCCTTGTTCTGTGCCAGCGTCACCTCAGAGCCATTGGCGAGTTGCACTGTTAGTCGCTCCGCGTTGTTCACTTCATCATCTGTGCCAACTCGGGAGACATGAGACGCACCTGAGCCGAGTAACCCAGTACGTCCATTCTGAGGGTTGCAACCATAGTCAACCGTCGTGTTCTCAACCTGGGTTGTGGAAAGCGACACTGCCTTCAACTTGCCTTCAACTGTCCCATATCCTTAACATTGCGTTCGCCTGCTCCAACAGCTGTCTCATTTCTGTCTCAGGTGTAGCCGAGGAAGCCGCTGACGTCGTGGCCTCAGTTGTTGCGCGGGGAATGCTCTGAGGTACTCTGCTGGCCGGCCTGCTCGAAGCTGCAAAGTTGAGCAACTGCGGGACCCTTTGGAGTCCTTTGCTTTCCGGCTCCCTTGGCGCTTGGGCTCGATGGGCTCTGTTTTACAGGACCTCCCAGCCTTCTCTTAGTTGTGAGAAAAGGAGCAGCTCGAGCCCTTTATACACCCAGCATCAGTCAAGCAAAACTTGCATGGAACAGTGGCCTTCGACATCGGCTGAGGTGATGAAGGCGAAAGTCCTCCAGCTTCATCTCCGGCTGCATTGATATTCTTCAGCTTGGCACTCTCAGCACCAGTTGAGGGCAGCGTCGTGGTGCCACGCATGGGAGCAGTGGTCTGGAGCTCCGCCCAGATCGTGCTGTGGGAGCGGAGCTCTCCGTTGTAGTCAGGGCGGGCGGCTATGAAGCTGCAGCTCATTCTTTGTAAGCGCCGCTCTATCCTTCACATCAGCAGTGGCTTCAAGAACCCTTGCGGTCAGCTTCTCGATGCCTCCCAAAAGCACCCATGTGTCCCGTGCAGCAATGCCAACGTCCTCCGCCCGTTGCAAGTATCAGCGCCACTTCCTCATCTGAGCCACACCCGCGTGCACATCCTCGTTCCAGCTTGGCCTTCCAGGTGCTTCAGCATTGTGCAGAACTGTACGCAGCAGATGCAATCACTTAAGCGTCCGGGCTCAAGCGCACAGCTCACACTGGACATGCCCACTTTTTCAGGGTGCCAAAGCCTTTTCGTTTGCCGCTTTTAATCCCCGTACCTTAAATCCAACCTCTATTGTACTAAACCGTACAAACACAGACGAAAGCCATGTCAATGCCGATAACAATCTTACAAAACCCTACATACGGCAGCCACAACCCTAAGCCCTAAGCCTTAGCCCTAAACCCTGAACCCTAAGCCTTCAGGCCTAAACCCTAAACCCTATATACAAGAAGCGTCGTGGTTCGAAGTTGCAGGATACCGCCTGTGGGGCCCGCCATGGAGCACGGCGACGGGAGCAAAAAAGCGATGAGAGTTTAGGGTTTCGGGTCAGGGCAGCTGATTTTATAGTTTTGTGCCATACGTTTTCTCTAGTTTCTTCTAAGGGTTCTTCGTAGTGTTTTGCACGTTCCTTGTCGGGTTTTAGAGTTGTGATTGTAATGTATTTTGTCAGGTTTTTGTGGGGTTTTGCAGAGTAAGGGGGCTTTAGAAGTGGTCTGAATATGCGAAATGGAGCCTTAGGCTTTAATGAGCTATTGGGTTCAGGGACTTAGGGTTAAAAAAACCCCGTTGAAGGCCCTGTGTGGTCTATAGTAGGAGCTAAAACAAACACGCCCAAAATCCTATTCAAGTCGTCCAGGCCCCAGGGACCCTAAACCCTAAACCCTACAAAGAGGGTCCACATACTCTACAATTTTGGAATGAGGCCCCCAAAACCATAGTAAGGCTGGTTTTTTGGGGCATAAGCCCATACTTGCTGTATATGTGGACCCGCTGGGCTACTGTTTGGGGTCTATGTTGCAGCGCCACTGGTTTAGGGTTTAGTGTTTGGGTTTTAGAGGTTAGGTTGCGGTTCACCACAAAAGCCAGGGGTGAAGGGTTGAGGGTTTAAGGTTTAGCAGGCTTTTGTGGGTTCAAGGTCGGTCATCAGCGGCCTCACAGGATTGAAAAGCACACCGGAAAGCCCGGCTAAGGATAAGGCACATGCGCAAGAGCACATGCTGAGTCCCAAGCCTTGTTTTGCGGGGACTCATTTTCTAACTAAGAGGGTCTGCTTGGCGGAAGGGCATCTACATACACAATAGAATGGTCGCTGTTGGACATCATGCACAAGTTTGTTAGCATATGTTGTTGAGGTTATTTTCTTTACACAGGCACGAACGTCGAATGTTATAGGATGTTCGAGAGCCCTGAAAAATCTGATAAAACCGGGTTGAATGGTTAGACTAAATAGAAAAGCTCCCCGAATGCAACACTTTAAGGAAAAACCTTTAACCTCAAACTTTAGCACCTGAAGAACAGCCACGTCATTCCTCCAACAGGCAAGCCATTGCTTAGTATACGTGCCTTAAGCACCGGCCCAAAAAAGACGATAGTTACCTACAACATGAAGATCCAAGGGCCACTGCATCTGCAAGCAGCTCGCCGAAGCGTGGCGCAAGCTCAAAAACGAGAACGGGCGTCATGCTCATTTTTCTTGTCTCGCGGCGGTCCAACCGGTTGGCAAAGAAACACGCTTAAGTGTGAAGGACTTTTACAGTTTCAATCGTAAATCTCAAATCTTAAGCCCCGAACTCTGCCCTGATCCTTTAGCTCCAACCATCTCCAACCCTGAGTTCCGCTGTTAAGGTGTGATCGGCTCTGCCGCGCCCTGCAGGAAGCTTCATGTATTGTCACAAGCTCGTTCAGCACAATCTCACGTGGGATTTCACGGTGTTACAGCTTTGGTCATGTTGGACCCCTCACCTCCCCTCCCCTCACCCCCCGTTTTGCCAGAAGAGGCATGCACACACAACATTTCAAGAGCTCAGTTTGGGCATAACTCATTTCACCTTGATTTATGTAATCTGATTTTGTGGGAAACTGTTGTTCAGCAGTCATGGAGCTCATAGCAAGCGTGTTCGTGGCATTGGCCGCAACTTGTTGGTCTGCAGCCCTGTGAGATTTAAAGTAGAAGATAAAGATATGCGAGCCGAAAATGACGTTCCAATCGCCCAACCCCCTGCGGACCCTAAACCCCCTAAAGCCCTTAACTAAAGCACCTTTAAACCTTTACGTACTGAATCTCAAGCCTTGTTTTGCGGGGACTCAGCTTCAAACTAAGAGCTAAGAGGGTCTGCTTGGCGGAACGGAATCTACGTATACAATAGTGTGGTCGCTGTTGAACATCACGCACAAGTTTGCTATGATATGTTCTTGAGGTTATTTTCTTTACACAGACACGAAAGTCGAATGTTATAGGGAGCGCCAGGGAAACCCAGATAACGAGAAAACGATATGAAACTTCGGGGGTCTTTGCAGCTGTAAAACCTTGGGAAATCCCCACAGGGTGTAGGTTTGTGTTCGAGAGCCCTGAAAAATCTGATAAAACCGGGTTGAAAGGTTAGACAAAAAAGACAAGCGAAACAAGCGCAAAGAAAGCAATATTTTAAGAAAACCGTGAACTTCAAACCTTAAGGACACCTTACCAGCCATGCCATTCCTCCAACAGGCAAACCATTGCTTAGTATAGGTGCCTTAAACATTTGAATCGGCTTTTGTTTTTTTTGTGGTGAGGAGGGTCTTGGGAGTATGTGACTTAGGTACGTTCTATTTACTCATATCACTTGTGTATTTTTCAGCAGGGAAAGTCCCACTCTATTTGCAGCCTGCGTACCAAGTTCCTTAACCGTCTAAGAAAAAGTACTCCGGTCACCTGGACCAAGCCCACAGAACCAGCTCTAGACGCGCAATTGAGCATGTAGTGGAATTTTGTGTTTGGGAGCTACATAAGTCATAATATCGTGACAAAGCTAAGTAACCTAGCAGCTTCTGGCGATACCTAGGGCAGATAAACGGTAGCCCCCAACCCAAACTTCAAGTCCCAAACTCCCAACCCGTGCACCCTAAATCTTAACCCTTGGTCCTACTCTAGATGCCACACCCTGTCCTTAACAGAATTCGACGCCATAAGCCTGAAATCTGGGTTTTGGAGTTTGGTTTTTTTCGTTCACAGACTCGCCTCTTCGATTCCCCTCCATGGGGCTTGGGCCTTAGTATTAGAGCAGAGCCGTAAAAAGTATGAAGCTTTCTAGGGGGGCCCAATATTTCTTTTTCAGTGTCGAAGTATAGCATAGTAAAGAAGACAAGGAGGCTCGATGTAAGGGAATGTTATGAACTGTTGAGACCCTGGAGCGCAAGTTTCAAGCTTCGGTTAACATGCTGGGGAGTTTTCGTGCGGGTTCATAGAGAGGGTTTTGGTTGGTAGTGATAAATGGCTTGGTGTAGGGGCTGGCAGCTAGCACGCTCGCTTCGATTCATGGTGTCCTCCCTTCCTTTCTAAGATGAGGAGGAGTTTGCGTCTTTTACGACGACGACGCGACTTTTCGTCTGACGACGACGCGTTTTTTAACGACGCGACGACATCCACCTTGTCTGCGCGGCGGTGCAACCTGTTGGCAAAGAACGACGAATAAGAAGGCGCTGTACTTTTCAAGCTTGAACCAGAAGGCCCTAAGCCCGCTGACCGAAACCCTGAGACCTAAAGTAAGTGTGCTTGGGCGCAAAGCTTGAATCCTTAGTTGGGGGGTAAAGATGCGATCGGCTCTGCCGGGCCCTAATGGAAGGTTCATGCGTTGGCACAAGCTCGTTCAGCACAATCTCACGTGGGATTGCAAGGAGTTTGCTCTGGTTATTTTCTAGTCCATTTTGCAAGTAGTGCGCAGATGCATGCATACAACAGGTTAGGGCCTCAGATAGGGCATAGCTCAGTTCACGCTTGATGCATGTAGTACGATCTTGCGGGAATTCGTTGTTTAGCAGTCAGGCAGTTCATAGCAAACATATTCGTGGCATTGTCTACAACTTATTGACATCGGCTTTCATCGGTGTGCTAGGTCGGGCTCGGGAATTTGATGTTTCGGCGTGTTGCAAACATGCAAACATTGTGCTTTCAACCCGGGAGTCATTTTAGTTCCGATTCCAACCCAGCGCAAGTCTCCATGTGGTACCGTCAGGCTCATGTTCGAGAGCACGAAGCCTTCATGAGATTTGGTTTGGGTTACCGCGTTGGTCTGCAAGTCGTGGCATCTGCGCCATTAGCCATTAACCTGTGAACTAGTAGACTTAGGTTGCGGGTTTGGTGTTTCGGGCAATGGGGTGCAAGCTCTGGGCGGAGGGTCTACACTTTCGGCTATACAGCCTAGAGACCGTTTTACGTCTTGGGGTTTGGGATTTAAAAAGTATTGAATCCTGCAAAACTAAAACCCTGCACCTTAACTTCTAAGCCCTTAAGCCCGATAACCGCAAGGCCCGTGCAAGCCTGAACTCTCAAGACCCAGGCTGGCCAGTCCATAGACCCAGAAGTCCCGAACCACTTGAACGTAGAATCCGTATACCTTTATGGTCTGAGCCCTTAAACCCTTGTTGAAGCTTAATTGAATCCTTTTATGGCACGTTTCGTCCTAGTTTCAACCCCCCTCGTCAGGTGCTCCGTACCGTCAACTCGGCAGTGGAGGCGGCATGGGCAGCGTTTCCCGGTATTTTAAGTGGCTTTGAAGGGGGGTTGGGAATCTTTAACTTAACGTCTAAACAATACTCTCAGACCCACCCCGCGCTTCGAATTTTCCTCGGTCATGCTGGTCGCAATTTGGCTTCTGACGTTTGGGACCCCTAAACCCTAAACGGAAGATTGTCAAGTATGCATCCTCGACCCAACAGGGTTTGGGATTCTTAGCCGTAGA